GGACAGCTCCCACCGACTCCTCTGGTTTGGCAAGGGACTGTAGGGGAGGGAGGAAGAGGAGGAGAGTGAACCCCGAGTCTGAAGCCCCGACTGCTGAGAGAAAACCCGAGGAGGAAGAGTACGGGAGGCCTGGGAGGACCTGACAGGAGGAAGGTTTTAATATCGCAATCACTGAATCCCATTGGCTGTATGAATCGGTGCTGTTTTGAAAAGTTTTATCATTATCTAAAGGTCTGGTAGCAGATAAAGTTTATGAATTGTCTTATCTGGATGAAAGCACAACCAACAGACTGATCTCACTTCATTGACACCAAGGTTGCTCGGTATGGTGTACTGTTGGGTCTCTGTAAATGTTAAAAGGAGTTCGGTCTAGACCTGCTCTATTTGAAAAGTGTCCTGAGATAACTTCTGTTATGAATTGGTGACATACAAATAAAACTGAACTGAACTGAACTGAATTTCTGATAAATGAACATTTGGTCTTTAAGGGAGATGTCTGCTCTTACAGATCTGTTGGTCTTCCAATCAGTCTTTTAAAGGCTTCAGGAGAGTCTACCTGATGTTGGTATCCTAGTTTTAAACAGTGCAGTTTGGTTAAGGATGGAGGTGGACTGATAATTAAATTCAACAGTGTGTCAGGATTGAGAGAAGACATGGTTCTTTTTCCCCAGTGTGTGATAAATAAAGTGTGTTGTTGTTGTTGTTGTCAGTATCAGTGAACCCTGTGAGCTCACCTGAAGTATGGTGGACTCCGTTGATGCTGGTCTTGTAGGGTTTGTTCTCTCTGTTGATGACACCATGAGTAGGAAGAGGAGGAAGAGGAGAAGCACTGATCACAGCAGAGGCTGCAAACTGAGCGCTGGCTGAGTCCAGAGTCTTTGAACCAGACTCACCTGACCTGGTAGACTATAGATGAGACCAGCAGAGACCAGGACAGATTGTTACTCAGAGAAGCAGACCGCACAGACACAATCAATCAATAACCAATCCAAACAGCACAAACACAATCAATCAATAAATAACCAATAACCAATCCAAACAGCACAAACACAATCAATCAATAACCAATCCAAACAGCACAGACACAATCAATAAATAACCAATAACCAATTTAAACACACTGTTGCTGCATCATAACTAAGTGTAAGTCAGTTCAATATCTCTAGATATTAATTCATATTAGTGAAATAATGTTAAACATTCTAATATTGTTATACATTAGTGTAATGTTATAAATTAGTGTCATAATGTTATACAGTAGTATAATAATGTTAGTGTAATGTTATGTTATAATAATAATGTCATTTAGTGTAATGTTATACATTATAATAATGTTATAGATTTGTGTAATAATGTTATACATTATAATAATGTTATACTTTAGTGTAATGTTATACGTTAGTGAAATATTGTTATAGATGAGTGTAATAATGTTATACATTATAATAATGTTATACTTTAGTGTAATAATGTGATATGTTGCTGTAATGTTAGATATGATCAATAACTAACCTGTGACCTCTGCAGCGCTGTGTGTCTGTATGAAGCAGAGTTGTTGTTGTGCAGCTGTTCCAGCTGTTGTTTCTGCATCTGAACCAGCTGCTGCTGATGACTGTGGTACTGCTCCTCTGTGATGCCCCCTGCTGGCACAGACAGACATTACAATATTATACAGAGTATATAACACTCAGTACTATATTATGTAGTAACAGGAGTAGTATAACACTAATATACATATTAGACTACATTATTAGATACAGAGTATATAACACTCATAACTATTATTATTATACCGAGAGTATGATAACCTAATATTAACTATTAACTACATTATTATACAGAGGTATATAACACTCATAACTATTAACTATATTATTATACAGAGTATATAACACTAATATATTATTATACAGAGTATATAATATGACACTGACATATTTAAGTTGTTTTAGATCCCAGATTCTTATCAGATCTCCTAACCCAGGACGGACCCTGCAGACCTGACCCAGGACGGACCCTGCAGACCCTGACCAAGGACGTTGTGCTACCTCCTAAAGTAGATTTGCTGTCAGACATTTTCTGCAGATGGTTGAACGGAAATAAAGAAGGAGCATTTTTGGTGACCCTTGAATGGGTCTCTGTCTCTCTCGTGCTTCAACGTCAATCAATCGATCAATCAGGGTGATCAATCAGTGCAGTCTATGAGAACTCACCTGATCCAGAGTTGGTGTCAGGTGACCGACAGCAGGTGAGTCTTCGGTCCTCCAGAGAGGACCCTGTAGTCCCTTTGCACCCCTCCCTCTGGTCCTGAACTGGTCGGGGTCTGTAGCAGAACCTTCTCAAGGTCTGGATGTTGTTCAGGATTTCAGTCAGGGAGGGGTTCTGCTCCAGAGGGTCTCTGAGGAGGCAGGTCCTGGTCCTGAAGACTGGATGTGCTAAAGAGTCCATCTGCTTCAGTACTGGATCCAGACCTGATGAGGCTCGGTCCAGGATTATCCTGATCAGAGAGACACGTAAATATAAATCATTCAGTAATCAACCTCCTTATGTGTGAGACAGGTCGGGTGATATAGAGGTAGGGTGTGGGTTTACCTGCCCCCCCGTCCTATCCTGCGGCGGCTCAGTCCTGTCCAATGAGGAGGGAGCGTCAGTTCAGTCAGAGAGTGACGGAGACACTGAGGGAGGAGCTGTGGATGATTGACTCCACCCGCCTGCTCCGTACAAGGCTGCAGAGACAAACACACACAGAGAACTAAATTATTATATACATATACCTGTGTGTGTGTGTGTATATATATATATATATATATGTTTGTTTTAATATTCTGAAACCTCAAGTCAATAATGTGACTTCTATAACCAACACATTATATATTCATACATTATATCATATACATATTATATATTCACATATTATATATTCATACATTGTATAAATGACTTAAACCCACCCTGTATATATGCAGCATTACATTAATGTACTTCCGTTTTCTGTACAGTTTTCTTATCTTTTCTTATCTCTATTTATATTTTAAAAGTACTCTATTTTTGTGTGATTTTTGTGATTTGTATATTTTTGTGTAATTGTATATTTTATGCACCAATGCACCAAGACAAATTCCTCGTACATGTAAAAACCTACCTGGCAATAAATCTGATTCTAAATTAATTCTGATATTTATATATTATATACACATATTGTATTATATATACACACATTATATTATTTAATATAAAATATACTCTCTAAAGAGTTCAGACTCACAGACAGATATTGACATCCAGCTTTTCTTCTGAACACAAAGACTCCATCAGGATTATTCTCTTCATCAGGAGAAGACGGAGGAGACTGAAGAGACCAACGACAGTATTGATCAGATATCAAAGATATGACAGTATTGATCAGATATCAGACTGACAGTATTGATCAGATGATATCAGACAGACGGATGCTGACCAGCGGTGGTGGCGGACTGTCGTCCTCTCCAGAGCTGTGGAAGTCGTACTGTTTGATGTCGGCCTTGTTGACGGTGAAGGGGCCGGGGGGTCGACCAGGACGTCTCTGTGGAGGATACAATCTGTCCCGTCTAATGTTCTTCTTCTTTGGTCTGATCAGGTCGAAGGGAAGCTCGTCTCTGACGGAGATCGGCTTCTTCTGCATCTGAAACGCAGACAGACGCTGATGAGGAGAAGAGCTAAAAACAACCTTCCTCACATCACAACCAATTTACATTATTGGCTCTCGCTGCGTCCTCCTCTTCTGCATCTCCACCAGGTCTTTATTAACCAACAAACTATCTCATGGTTTATTTTCAGTCAGTCAGAGAGACGCTTGTCTTATTTTACTGTTAAAAACTGAAACTAAATTAGAGAAAATCTATTAGGAAAACTTACATCTGCAGAAAATCTTTCTTTGACATAAATACGAAACCTTAAAGTGATTCTGTTTTTAACTTTTAGGAGAGATGTTTTTGGTTGAAAAAGGTTTATTTGTGTGAAAACAAAAGGTTTCCTTAGATGTTCTGTAGTTTAGACTTAGACAGGTCAGTAACAGAGGATTTACTGTGGTCTGATTGTCTGACCAACAGAAGCATCAGCAGCTGTTTATTATGTTACAATTAGTGCTATTAGTTTTTAACCTTCAATATTTCATTCTCTCTAAACTTAAAGGCATCAAGTGTTGAAATTCATAAAGCAACAGTTGACTCACTGAACAGATTTACTTGTGTAAAAGTAATTTATGAATAAGACTCTGATTTTAAATGCAATCAGTCTTTATATGATACTGCATGTTCGAAGGAGAAAGACAGACAGACAGTACCTTGATCTTGTCAGTTTTGTGTCTGTTGCCGTTGTTCAGAGTAACTGGAGTGCTGTACACTGGTTTCTCCACCAGAGGGACTGATACCTCTCTGAGAGTGTCTCCACTGAAATCTCCCATCTGATACCTGAACACACATTATCAATACCATCATCTGATACCTGATCACAGACATTATCAATACACTGCTGTGATACCTGATCACACACACACTAACATCAAGCCTTCAGTATTGACAACCTGCTGTTTATAACACAGTCCATCAGTTTAGTTTCA